GAGAGAGAGAGAGAGAGAGAGAGAGAGAGAGAGAGAGAGAGAGAGAGAGAGAGAGAGAGAGAGAGAGAGAGAGGATAGCAGCGCATGTGTTGTTAGTGTTGCTAACTGTCACCACGACAATGCCCTTTCCATCTGAGACAGCTTTACCCCTACAGCAAACAAAATCAAGCACACGAAGAAGAGCAGATCCAAAATTAAAACAGCTTTACCGCTGTACCAAACAACATGAAACACACAAAAACCGTTATGTTGCTTTTTCCTTGTACAGCCCTTTTTTCGCTTTCCTTACTTTGCCCGTTTGTTTCTTCTTGCAGCTCCCCCTTTACTGTGCGTGTCACCTGCAAGGCTTGCCACGTTGATTGTGGTTCAGCACGAGCTGCCCACATCCCCATTCGTCTTAACAGCCCACTGGGACGCTACGAAAGGACGCAGAGTAAAAGGGGAGGTGTACTCCTGCTCGTTTTGCACCACACTTTCAGCTTATATTTTGCTTGTTCTCTTAAACCACCGGTACACCTGGGCCTGGCAGCACTGCGCTGCACGCCAAGCTTTGCCAAACCACTGGCAGCACACTTTTTTTGCTTTTTCAGCTGGTGCCGTCAGCCATTGTGGTCCGGTAGCCCGGAGCCTCCGAAATTTTTGTAGGCGACGAAAACAAATCCTGCAAGGCTGGGGTCCTGTACTGGTGATCTAATGATGCTCATTGGCATGCATTTAGTCGTGCTATACAAGAAGAGGGAGGAAGAAAAGGAGGAGCGGGATGAGTTCTACACGAGAGGAGGGAGGAGAAAGAAGGGGAAGAGGAGGGAGGTGGAGAGACAAGGAATAGAACAGTGGAGAGACAAGCTTCACAGGGTTCTCGATACTCACCACCAGAGCAGACTACCTTCTTCACCCGAATACATGGCTGTATTTGGGGTATCTTTCCATCTACATACAGCCATAATGACCATACGTTGTATTCGGGTGAAGAAGGTACTACGGAATGGTGCAAGAGGCCAATTGGTGTTTGGGTTGCGGGGGAGTTCTGAGCTGAGCAGCAAGTGCTGCTTATGCTAAGTGGCCATCTGTGCAGACCAGACAGGACCAGTTCGGGTGTTTACAAATAGGACATGCCATGTCAGGGTGCCGTACAAGTGCACAACATTGCCTGTCATCATCCCATGAAAACAACGACTCACATGGGCTATACCTTCATAACCCTCAAGACACAAACATGCCGATCAGATGCCAGCCGAATCTCAGGTGGGCCATCGCAGTATGGCATTGAGCAAGTTTCTTGGGTTTCCGCAGTCGATGTTCCCTCTCTATGGGCAGGCGGTGACGGAGCCTGATTCGAAGTGAGGGCGTGTTGCTGTGGCAAGATCTGGTCTGCTACATCTCACCCGGGCGGCGACAACCTTTCATTACGACATACGGTAGGGGTCTACAGTGAGAATCTTTTCTCTACCTCGGGCTGGTGCGTCTGTTTGCTCATCGGTCAAGCTAGGAAGAAATCCAATCACGGGCGCAGCCAGAGGATGCCCGATGTTGCATTTTGGACATGAATGGATAGGATGTGGCAGCTGAAGGCACCCGGAATAGTCCACACTGTAGAGACACATACTTTCCATGATAGCTTCCTGGAAACGTTGAGGGCGCATGGCATGTTGCTGAAATGCCAGCAGGAAAGCAGGCTGACATTCGCAGTTATTCACGCACGGCATGTCAAGGCCACAGCGGCATATTGGGCAAGCAATAAGGGGGTTGGGGGACGAGTGCAAGACAACCGGTCACAGTTTTCCTTGCAGAGGATGACAGTAACCATGCCTCCATAGCAGTCGGAGCAGAGATTGTGCCGTGTGCATGCTAACCGAGCTGTATATTTGTGGACACACAATGGCATCCTGCAGTCACCGTCCTCTGGAGAAGCTCCCTCACTAACCGTCCAATATACACAGGCAAGGGACACTGCTTGGGCATGTGTGTGATGTGTGTGTGTGTGTGTGTGTGTGTGTGTGTGTGTGTGTGTGTGTGTGTGTGTGTGTGTGTGTGTGTGTGTGTGTGTGTGTGTGACACACAGAGAGAGACAGAGACGTGTGTGCGTGTGTGTGTGTGTGTGTGTGTGTGACACACAGAGAGAGAGACAGAGACAGATACAGACAGAGACAGAGACAGAGACAGAGACAGAGAGAGACAGAGACAGAGACAGAGACAGAGACAAAGACAGAGACAGAGACAGAGACAGGGACAGAGACAGAGACAGAGACAGAGACAGAGACAGAGACAGAGACAGAGACAGAGACAGAGACAGAGACAGAGACAGAGGCAGAGACAGACAGAGACAGAGAGATTCTTTAGGGGGTACAAAAGAAGATATTTGCATCGGACACTGAAGTGCAGTGGAGTTGGGATCCCTACAATTCTTTGATTTGCAGATTGTGCTCATTGTTCACTACCATCTTCACACAAGAGAATGCTCGGTCATTGCCGCTGCATCTGGACTGAAAGTTGGCCCAAATACGGCCGGCTATAATGAGTGGGCATGCTAGCCATCCCCAGCAGCAGGTCTTTTCAGAGGCTAATCAATGCACCATTGAGGTTGGGGGGGGGGGGGGGGGGGTCCAGATTTGGGGTTTAAGAAGGTGGTCCCTGATACCTTATGGTCTACGAAGGTGGCCACCAATACCTTGCAATGCTCGCAGTGATACTTGTTTCTCCCATCCAGTCTCTCCTCTGCCGTGAACGCGCTAAGGCAATCCTGAATTGTGATAGAACTGCCGCCACAAGAAAGCGACCGCTTCGGGATGGGCAGGGAAAGGTCGAGGAATGGGTCAAAGCACTGAGATTTCCGACGGCATGTCATACACTCGATAGTGCTCTGGAGCTGACCTGAGGAAACAAACAGACAGTATCATGCGACGAGAAAGGTGAAAAGGTAAGACAAAATAACAACGACCATATTCTTTTTTCGTTTGGAGTCCATTCTGGCACAGACAGACAGGAACCTTCTTACTGGTGCTGATTAAAAACTAATAAAAAGAGGGTTTAAATTTTAGATAAGCTGGGATACCAGCCGGGCCGCCCGGGTCACCCTGTTTGACCGGGCGGCCCGGCCGTGCGAGGACCAGCAAATGGCACAGCAAAAAAAAAAAAAAAAAAAAAAAAAAAAACCTGAACAAATTTAACAAAAACTATTTGATGCACAAAAAATAAACTGAACAACTTGTGCCTCAGGGTCACATCGAAATTCTTTCCAAATTTGAAATAAAAAAAAAGTAAAAAATAATTTATTTATTTAGTTTTAGTTTTAGTTTTGCCTGGCCTGGCAACTTGCCCCGGGCCACTCTGGTACCCTAGCAAATAAGGGTTAAAAACTTAAAACAGGGGGGGTATTTCTTTTTTATTTTTTGGCTCATGAGGTCCCTCCCTACTCATCCTTCAGTGCTTGGTTTCCTAGTGGATCCCTTACTCCCCCATCTCGAGGTACATCACGGGCCTCACAGAGATATATCTGACAGCAGTTGTAGGCATCAACGCTGGGCAAATAACCCATCCAGCCCTAGTTGAAGCCACGCCAGACGAGTCTTGTCGCACGGCCACATCGGACACCAGGTGTAATCGTTAGTGTAGCCGCCCCATGAGCTAACCTGTATGCGCCCCCCTCGGTACCCGGGCAACCCCGTGTATGGAACTCAGCGCCCACACCCTAGATACCACAGGCAGTGTCTGATGGCCCCCTCGCTGGCCAAGTTTTAACCTATGGCATCCCCCTGAGCTACCCGGGTATACCCCCCGAACATAGCAGTACCCCCCGCGGTACCCGGGCAACCCCGTTTATGGAACTCAGCGTCCACACCCTAGATACCACAGGCAGCGTCTGATGGCCCCCTCGCTGACCAAGTTTGAACCTATCGATGGTACTCCAGTCTCTTTCATCAGTAGGCCCCGGTCATCAACTAGACCCTGTCCAGTCGCGTTCGGGAGGGACTCTAGGAATCCCTCCCCTCATCCTTACCGTTCTCATTGCAGAGGGGGCTCGACTCCAGAACGGCAGTTTGAAATGTACTTAGAAACTCAAACCATGACAACGCCCTAGTTTTCTTTTTTTCTTTTCTTTTTTTCCTTCTTCTTTGCTGTTGTTTTTTCTCCTCTTCTTCTTTGTTGCTGTTTTCTCCCTGTCGATGGTACTACAGTTGTTCTGGTTATTGCTGGTTATTCTGCTCATTATTTGTTATGATCACCCGGAGGTACACCAGTCTCTGTCATCAGTAGGTACACGGCCAGCATATCTTCCCCTCCCCTCCCCC